TTTTTTTTTTTTTTTTTTTTGTAAAGAAGAGATGTCATAATAATTTAAATGTGTCATTCCTTGGCTGTATCTCACAGAAATAAGATGAAGTAGGAGTTAGATGCTGATAATGTCAGTTCTCATGACGCATTGCTGTCACTGCCTAACAAATTCTGCTGATATTTTTTCATGTTGCTTTTAATTTATAAGTGTCTTATGTTCAAGTGCAATGTTCTTACACTTATATGTGTGTAAGGGTGTGTATATATATATTCACTACATATAGATTAGGAGTATCTGAGTTCTGCTGAATGTATACACAGAAAAAAGATGTTCATTCTTATTTGTCAGAGAAATTCCTCAGATATTGCCAATTTATTAGTTCTATCGGTTAATTTGTAGTGAAAACTTACTAGGTGTCCATCACTGTGGTAGGTCCCAGGAACTTGAGCACCCAGGGTTCTGAGACCAATCTTCTCTAGATACTGAGGAGGTGGCATGATTATTAGTTAAATACACAGTGTGAAACTGTGACTAAGTGTTAAGGAGAAAAATAAAGCAGGACAAAGGGTTAGAGTTTTGCAGTTTAAATACAGAGGTCAAGGAATTCCTGAAGGGTCAAGATCCATTTATGCATCGATTTTAGGTAAGAGTAATTTGCGCGGGGGTGAAAAGGCATTCCAGGAAGAGGAAAGCACAGATACAAATACTTTGAGTCTGGTGCATGCCTGGCATATTCAAACAAGAGCCAGTAGGCCTGCTTGGCTAAAACGACAAGTAAAGACAGTTGGATCTTCAGATGCTATCAGAAGGCTCCTCTGGCAGTGGTGAGTCAGTGCTGGGGCATGGTGTAGAACTTTGTAGGTTTTCACAGCTAGACTTTAGCTTTTGTGTTAAGGGATGGGAGCCTATGGAGGACAAGGCCCAATTTGTTTTAAAAGGATTATTCAGGCTGTAGGGTGCAAAGGCAAAATGAGGAGGTCAAATTACAAGAATCTAGCTGAGAGATGCTAAAGACGTGGTAGAAACAGTGAAGAGGGGGAGATAAGGTTGGATTCTGGAATTATTCTGAATATGGATGCATGGAATTGGAGTAGGAAAGGCTGAGTATAATTCCTATCCAGGGAAATGAGTACCTTGGTACTCAAGGAGGAATCTGGACATAGCATTCATTACATCAATTTCCACACCTTCCAATGAGATAGAGTTACAGTTGGTATTCCTACTTTGCAGATAGGAAAAAAGCTTAAGGAGATTAAACAGTTTTATTCAAATTGCTGAGGTTGCAAGTGATATATCTAGGTCATAAATAGGTATTCTGCTCCCATGTTCGGCCAATGCTCTTTCCTCGTTCACAAAATCTACTGTTTGCCTCCTGCCCCGGGAGTTTACATGACTAAACTAGGACCAGATTCCACCTGTGGTGTTAAAGTGCCTGCTCTTAAAGTGAGCCAAAGTGACTAAAGGCCATGCTTTCTCGTGTGGTTGTTTGGCAAACTTGTGGATATTTGGCCATGAACACGGCATGGGCTGACATAAATCTGCAGGTGTGATGGGACATGCACCTGGTCTTCTCTTTAGTTACTTCTTCCTTCCATTTCTCATTTTTTCTCTCTCGGCCAGTGTATAATAAGTGCATTTTGTGCCCAGAAAAGTGCTAAATGTTTTTAATGCAACTTCCTTTTTTGTTGTTTCAAAAAAGCATGGATTTTAAAAAGCTAATCATTCAGGGACTTGAGTATAAAGGTGTGGAAGAAAAAAGGTTTGATATGAAGCACATTCCTTTCTGAATATGTTCCTTTGGAGATGCCTGAGGAACATTTTGGTTGAAAGACACCAGGTTCCAGTGTAGACAGGTCTAAAGTTTCTGAATATTATAAATTCTTTTCTCAAGCTTCTTTTTTTCCCATTAAGTTTATTGGTACATTTTAGGGATACAATACAGTTACATTCATCTCTCAAGCTTCTGACTGGTAACTAGTTACTCCATTTTCTACATAAACCTTCGCATTTGTACATGTACATGAGTATGATGGGAGAGCTGAGCAAACAAGACAAATCTAAAAGAAGCAATCCTTTATTTTTTCCTTTCACTATCCTTTCTTCAGTGGAGTTTTTGTTCATCAGATGTTGGATACAAATTCAGGCACATTCCAGAGTTTTTCTGTTTATCCTTAGAAAGTGCACATATTTATGGTGATTTGGAGCTACAAGAAAACTCTCTATTTCAAATATTTAATGTCCAGGGAAAGGTATTACTAATGAAGTCTGACTTGGTTGAACATTAAAACATCAACCATTCCCCAGTACAAACCTGGGTCATCTTGGAAGCACGAGCAGAAAAGCAGGCAGGAATGTCCTG